TTACTGTATAGATTTGGGACCTGACCCTCCAGTATTTTCCATGTGTATATTATTTGACATCTGTCTCGTCTCCTTTCTAATGAGTACATTTGGAGAGCTTTGAGACGATCCCAATAATTAAGTGCTTTACTGCATCCACGTATGCCGTATATGTTCTCTGTACTCTATTTCAGCAATCTCGCCTGCTCTGAAGGGGGGGGGGGGGTGGAAGCGAATACTGAGCAGATTTGAAAGTTCTCGTAATCCATCCTATCATTTTTCTGGCTGAGGCAATATTTGCTTGGTTATGCTCCCTAAACATGCTGCTTTCCCACCATGGGCAGATTTGATTGTGTTTTGTACCCTGTATTATGATTAAGTTCCTTATTTTTACTGTACCAATGGAACGAGAGAGATGGTGGGCAGTGTTGAACGAGAGAGATGGTGGGCAGTGTTGAACGAGAGAGAAGGTGGGCAGTGTTGAACGAGAGAGATGGTGGGCAGTGTTGAATGAGAGAGATGGTGGGCAGTGTTGAATGAGAGATGGTGGGCAGTGTTGAATGAGAGATGGTGGGCAGTGTTGAATGAGAGATGGTGGGCAGTGTTGAATGAGAGAGATGGTGGGCAGTGTTGAACGAGAGAGAAGGTGGGCAGTGTTGAACGAGAGAGATGGTGGGCAGTGTTGAATGAGAGAGATGGTGGGCAGTGTTGAATGAGAGAGATGGTGGGCAGTGTTGAATGAGAGAGAAGGTGGGCAGTGTTGAATGAGAGAGAAGGTGGGCAGTGTTGAATGAGAGAGAAGGTGGGCAGTGTTGAATGAGAGAGATGGTGGGCAGTGTTGAATGAGAGAGATGGTGGGCAGTGTTGAATGAGAGAGAAGGTGGGCAGTGTTGAACGAGAGAGAAGGTGGGCAGTGTTGAACGAGAGAGATGGTGGGCAGTGTTGAACGAGAGAGAAGGTGGGCAGTGTTGAACGAGAGAGAAGGTGGGCAGTGTTGAATGAGAGAGAAGGTGGGCAGTGTTGAATGAGAGAGAAGGTGGGCAGTGTTGAATGAGAGAGATGGTGGGCAGTGTTGAATATAGCCAATGAAAGACACCATACTGACGACTGGAGAGCACCAAGGATCAAGATGCCCAATAACCTCCTACCAACAACTATAAGAATATGACAGATATTCCCTCTTGAAGCGTCTTCATTAACTTATCTCCTCGGAAGTTACCAAATTACCAATATTGTGATGACTGTGTAGGCCTGCAGGCGGCAAGCACGAACAGCCTGCCTGATTAGGGAAGCACCTGGTAAAAAAGTCCTCAAGTCCAAATGCGAGGGTTATCTTCTTGAGGTTATCTTGTGATGATTTCGGGGCTTTAGCGTCCCCGCGGCCCGGTCCTCGACCAGGCCTACTTTTTGTTACAACACCCCGGGAAGCAGCCCGTAGCAGCTGTCTAACTCCCAGGTACCTATTTATTGCTAGGTAACAGGGGCATCAGGGTGAAAGAAAAATTTTGCCCATTTGTCACGCCTCCACCGGGGATCGAACCCGGAACCTCAGGACTACGAATCCGAAGCGCTCTCGAAATCGATCACAATCAAATCAAAAGAAAACAGGAAAGGTAAGTTTTTTGTTTGCAACAGACCTGTACTGCAAAGGTCTTGTGTTCCACAATATATTATAGTGTCCTTTGCACAGTGGCTACGTTCTCGACTCTCAGTTGGGGATCCCGGGTTCCATCGCAGACGGGACAGAAATGGTTGGGCACGTTTCCTTTCACCTAATGGATCTGTTCACCTACCAGTAAATAGGTAACCGGGACTTTTGTCAATTGTTGAGGAATTCCAGTAATTCGACCTTGATGGGGACCTCGATACAAGCCTTAAGTATATATACATACTGCCTTCCTGTCCCCGACAACGGGAATTGATTACAGAATACAGTAACCCTGGAAACAAACCGAAACTGTCTATTTTCCGCTTGTTACAACTTGTAATAAAGTTGTTACATCTTGGCTTAACGTGTTTATGACGTATCAGAACGTTGTTACAACTTGCTATATTTGTTGTTATAACTGGTTAGGAGGTCTTAAAACTTGTTCGAACGTTGTACCAACGTCGTAGTTTCGGTGTGTTTGGCGGGAGCCACACTATATGCTACAGAATATGCTCCACTATATGCTAATCTGGCAAGTTACTTAACCCCCTACAACAACATTCAGCTCGTAGACTGTCACAAACCATTAACTCATTCACTCTTAAGACTACATAATTCAAAGTGGAACTGTAAAAGAGTTTAGACCTCCGGCCTGATGTACAATCAACTACGTAACTACTTCATTGGTATATTGGAAAACATCCTAACCATTCATCCAAAATTTGCTGGTCTATTTTAATGGATGAAGAACGATAATTGTATTTATTATTTTTAAGCTACATCACTTATTATCCCTCCGTGCCTTGTGTGGCAGTGAACAAGAGGAAGTTGTATTAACAAATTCATACACTGAAAGAAAGATTGTATTAACAAATTCATACACTTCATACACAACCACAGTGTATGAAGGGGTAGATTGTACATTGTACTTCGTGAAATTGTGTTTCAATCAACAATTTAGACCTATTGTTTTAAGCATGATCCTCCGTCCCGTGTGACAGTGAATGTGAACAGCGGCTCACTGCCCTGTGTGACAGTTAGGTGACCCGGCACAAGCCAGGTCCGCTGAGTAAATATTGACCTCTGAAAAAGGCGGTCACTGCCACGGGGGATCGGTCGGTCGGTCGGTCGGTCTCTCTCTCTCCCCCCCCCCCCTCCCTCCCTCCCGCACGCATACACACACATCAAATTAGGCTAAAGAATCTGTACACCAGTTGATTGACAGTTGAGAGGCGGGACCAAAAAGCCAGAGCTCAACACCCTCAAGCACAACTAGGTAAGTACAGGAGTTTCGCGGGTGGATAGCGCGTGGGAGTCGTAGTCTTAATGACCAGGGTTCGATTCCTGGCGGAGGCAGAAACAAGTAGGCACGGTTTCTTTCACTCTGATGCCCTTATTCACCTAGCAGTAAATTGGTACTTCAAGAGTTCAACAGCTGCTAAGGGTTGCATCTGTGTACTCACCTAGTTGTGCTTGCGGGGGTTGAGCTCTGGCTCATTGGTCCCGCCTCTCAACTGTCAATCAACTAATGTACAGATTCCTGAGCCTACTGGGCTCTATCATATCTACACTTGAAACTGTGTATGGAGTCAGCCTCCACCACATCACCCCCTAATGCATTCCACCTGTTAACTACTCTGACACTGAAAAAGTTCTTTCTACCGTCCCTGTACCCATTTGGGTACTCAGTTGCCTCCCCCTTATTCGCGTACAAACAAGAGTGTGTGTGCGCGCGCGCGAGATAAATATATGCAGAAGATGCTATAGAGGTAAGTGGCTAGGGAGTACAAAGGACAAGGGACTTACAAAGGCGGGGTCCAAGAACCAGCACCTGGCCCCTGCAGGCACCAAGGAGCCTGCAGGGGCCTGGTGGATAGCGCGTAGGACTCGTAATTCTGTGGCGCGGGTTCGATTCCCGCACGAGGCAGAAACAAATGGGCAAAGTTTCTTTCACCCTGAATGCCCCTGTTACCTAGCAGTAAATAGATACCTGGGTGTTAGTCAGCTGTCACGAGCTGCTTCCTGGGGGTGGAGGCCTGGTCGAGGACCGGGCCGCGGGGACACTAAAGCCCCGAAATCATCTCAAGATAACCTCAAGATAACCAATAGTAAACACGCAGGACACGGTAAAACCACCCGAGGAATGCTAATAGTTTTGAGAAAATATATTTTTAAATACAGCTTTTTCCTTCCCTTTTGAGTCGTCGTGTCCAGTCCTCAGAGACTTGTCTTCCCTTCTTGAGGTTATCTTGAGATGATTTCGGGGCTTTAGTGTCCCCGCGGCCCGGTCCTCGACCAGGCCTCCACCCCCAGGAAGCAGCCCGTGACAGCTGACTAACACCCAGGTACCTATTTTACTGCTAGGTAACAGTGGCATAGGGTGAAAGAAACTCTGCCCATTGTTTCTCGCCGGCGTCTGGGATCGAACCCGGGACCACAGGATCACAAGTCCAGCGTGCTGTCCGCTCGGCCGACCGGTTCCCTTAAGACAATACTTTATATAATTAACTCTTCAATATGAAATAAATATTTACGGGGCATAGTTCATACTTCAATTTACAATATTTTCAGTTAAAATTTATATACGTTAAAATTTACATAATACTATGGATGTTTACGGTATTTTACAGATAATCTAGATTTTCAAAACAAATACTCCAAGTATAATATTTTCAATATTTACAGAGTTTTTGTAGTAATATACATAATATCTCGGTGACAACGTGTTCAAAACTTAAGATATAACTCGCACAGTGAACCAGAATAATCCACAAAGAAACTAAGTTTCAATACTAATGTGTACACAAGCCATGCACAATGAAATCACGAGAAATTTATGAGTTACTGCAGTCGGTAGTGTGTGTGTGTGTGTGTGTGTGTGTGTGTGTGTGTGTGTGTGTGTGTGTGTGTGTGTGTGTGTGTGTGTGTGTGTGTCGCTGGGAGGCCTAGAGACGCTGGTTCGATCCCATCAAACTACCTCAATATTCTATCACCTAAGCCATATATGTTGACAAATCCCACCTTTTGAAATAAATCATGCATGAAATCGCTGTAATATTACTAATGACTCCATAGTACTACCTATCTGTTTTCCACAGGTTGGTTCCAGAGGACCAATAGGTCCTCCCGAGGCCTGGTCTGTGACCAGACCTCCTGGTTGGTCTGGTCAAGCACATCATCTGAATCTTAATCATACACACATGACCATTAATTCGAGCATTGGAAGACTTTGGGAGCGTTAGTGACAATCTACTAGCGGGTGAAGATTAACTACCACGACCAACTAGCAAATTGTATTTGGTGGCAGCCAGTACTAAAAAAAAAGGGGTTTCATAATGTTAATTGCGCAGAGCACTTTTTTTTCTCGCTACAGATGAAGGATGGATCCTCCAACGGGGCACAGAGTCGACCAGGATTGGATCCTCCGGCAGGGCACAGAGTCGACCAGGATTGGATCCTCCAGCAGGGCACAGAGTCGACCAGGATTGGATCCTCCAGCAGGGCACAGAGTCGACCAGGATTGGATCCTCCAGCAGGGCACAGAGTCGACCAGGATTGGATCCTCCACCAGGGCACAGAGTCGACCAGGATTGGATCCTCCACCAGGGCACAGAGTCGACCAGGATTGGATCCTCCAGCAGGACACAGAGTCGACCAGGATGGGATCCTCCAGCAGGACACAGAGTCGACCAGGATTGTATCCTCCAGCAGGGCACAGACTCGACCAGGATTGTATCCTCCAGCAGGGCACAGACTCGACCAGGATTGTATCCTCCAGCAGGGCACAGACTCGACCAGGATTGGATCCCCCAGCAGGGCACAGAGTCGACCAGGACTGTATCCTCCAGCAGGGCAGAGTCGACCAGGGATGGATCCTCCAGGACTCTCACTGTCAATGCTCACAATCATCAACCAACAAGTATTTACTATCAATTCTGCTCATCTTTAGTAACACTCATAATACCAGAAGCCATGAACCCTCACACTAACAACAACAACATGGCGACGTTTCTGTCTATCGTGGATCATGAGACGGGAGCAGCAGCTCAGGATTGACAGGTGCACAGACAGAAATATGTACAGTGTACATCAGCAAAGTTACACACACAATTGTGGATAAGACAGAGGAACACGAAAGGAGTCCTTGCATTAGACAAGCAGCGGTTAGAAAGGTGAGGTCCAAGAACCAACCCGTTCTCGCACTTGCTTATAGTCAATATTGGCTTATTTAATAAGTGCATATGTGACATACTAATTGATTGTGAATATTTTAGTTTACCTTGAAAAGCTTCATAGAAAACACCGACCTCACCTAACCTTCTTAGTATGTTAAGATAAGCATCTTATTGCTTCATATTTACAATTATTACTTAACCTATCAACGGTATAGGTTAAGTAATAATTGTAATTAAGAAGCAATAAGATGCTTATCTTAACATACTAAGAAGGTTAGGTGAGGTCGGTGTTTTCTATGAAGCTTTTCAAGGTAAACTAAAATATTCACAATTAGTATGTCACATATGCACTTATTAAATAAGCCAATATTGACTATAAGCAAGTGCGAGAACGGGTTGCTTGCTCTCATTCCTCAGACGTCTCGTTGCAATTTCTCCACCATCTCGCTGTTAATGTTTAACCTCATTCCTGTTCCACAATGCCTCATTATCATTCTGAAATGTCTCATTACCCTTCCACAATGTCTCATTACCCTTCCACAATGTCTCATTACCCTTCCACAATGTCTCATTACCCTTCCACAATGTCTCATTACCCTTCCACAATGTCTCATTACCCTTCCACAATGTCTCATTACCCTTCCACAATGTCTCATTACCCTTCCACAATGTCTCATTACCCTTCCACAATGTCTCATTACCGTTCCGTAAGGCATCATTACCGTTCCATATTGCCTCAACGTGAAATCTTGCATTACATTGACCATACACAGAGTAATCACACTAACATGACCGCACCGATGAGAAAATCCCTAGGAGCAGTGATAAGGGTTCGAACCAACTCGGTGGGTGGCCCCACGGACACGCTCTAGCAACTACACCACGACATGGTATAAAAATTGCAACCTGGAGTTCTACTGAACATACGAGGATTTCCTGAGGCTTCTACTTAAGCCGGAACAGGATTTTCCTACAACCCCCCCCCCCCCCCGCAGACACTCTGGCTCTGGGTCATCTAGGAAACCCTCGTATGTTCAGTAGAACTTCAGGATACAATTTGTATACCATGTCGTGGTGTTGTCGCTAGAAGCGTGTGCGCGGTTTAGGTTCGAACCTAAACCCACCGCATAGGTTCGAACCCTTGAGGTTATCTTGAGATGATTTCGGGGCTTTTTTAGTGTCCCCGCGGCCCGGTCCTCGACCAGGCCTCCACCCCCAGGAAGCAGCCTGTGAACACCCAGGTACCTATTTTACTGCTAGGTAACAGGGGCATAGGGTGAAAGAAACTCTGCCCATTGTTTCTCGCCGGCGCCTGGGATCGAACCCAGGACCACAGGATCACAAGTCCAGCGTGCTGTCCGCTCGGCCGACCGGCTCCCCTTATCACTGCTCCTACGGATTTCATCATATTGAACATAATTTATTGCAGCCTAACCATAAACGGGGTCACAGGAAGCCAAACTTATTTCGTAAAATACAATTGAATATTCTATAATGTATTTTTCAGTATAGGTGTATAAAGCTGCAACATACAGCTGAATGTATGTCAATGGCCTGTTTGCTTTTTTTAACAGTAGGCCATCGATTTGAAATTGTCGGTAGAGCTACTATCTCGCTGCATGCAGGGTCGGGGTTCGATCCCTGATTTTCTAATTTTTCTAATTCTATTTTTTTCTAATTGTCTGATTTTTGGCTACCGTGTCTTTACTACGTCTTTATATCCCAGCTCTTAAGCTGTCCTCGTATCCCAGCCCCTAGCCTGTCCTCACATCCCTTCCCCCTAGCCTGTCCTCACTCCCCTTCCCCCTAGCCTGTCCTCACTCCCCATTCCCCTAGCCTGTCCTCGCATCCCTTTCCCCTAGCCTGTCCTCATATCCCAGCTCCTTGTCCTCATATCCCAGCTCCTTGTCCTCATATCCCAGCTCCTTGTCCTCATATCCCAGCTCCTTGTCCTCATATCCCAGCTCCTTGTCCTCATATCCCAGCTCCTTGTCCTCATATCCCAGCTCCTTGTCCTCATATCCCAGACCGCCGACCTCGTATGCCTTGCAAGTACTATAAAGCCACACTGGCTTAGGGCTTCCTCCGAATATTTCAACCCAGCCTCCTGAAGTAACAGTACATATAGTGACTATCTGGTCGACAGTGCCAATGTGTAGTGATGGACCGCCAGTAATCCGCTTTTTGGACTTAATTCTATAGTCCGGAAATAAATTAATCTAAAACCAAACTTAAATATTCCTAGGCCTAATATAGCGCATATATGTACTACATTAGGCCTTAAGCGTGTATTAGACCTAGGACTTGTTAGGTCTTATATTTATGTTGCTAGTAAAAATTGTCTAGTTTGTCCAAATTCATTAATATGACAGACAACTTTCTACATCACTACACATCAACACTTTCCATCAAATAGTTACTATTACACACAGAGATCACACTAACGTGATGCATCAAATAGTTACTATTACACACAGAAATCACACTAACGTGATGCATCAAATGAACGAATCTACAAGGGCCGTGACGAGGATTCGAACCTGCGTCCGGGAGCATCCCAGACACTGCCTTAATCGACTGAGCTACGACAGGGTAAAAGAATTGAAACCGAAGTTCTACTGAACTTACTGGATCCCGCAGCCTATGCGATTAAGGCTGCGGGATTAAGCTCAGTCGATTAAGGCAGTGTCTGGGATGCTCCCGGACGCAGGTTCGAATCCTCGTCACGGCCCTTGTGGATTTGTTCAAATAGTTACTATAATTACTTTCATTTTATGAGGCTAGGCTGCCAATATTACTTTACTTTGCCTTACTAAAATAAGTATAGATAATCAACAGTTTCAGAGCAAATTCAACTCATAAAACCCACTATCATTATCTTCAATATTTGATCTAAATCCCATACTGTGAACAGCGACTTAGAAAACGTGTTAAGACATCAAAGTTTATCATTTATTAAGACAGACAAAAAATTTGTGATTGTGAACAGACTGGCACAAATACTCAATGGAAGTGTCTTCAATGCACATTACAACATCAAAGTTGAAAAATGTTAAGACATTCAAAAACTGGAAAAAAATATATATAAAATATTAGGAACATAAATATACAAGTTATAAAGTTAAGTTGTTTGACTCGCACACCTGGTGTGGGTTTGACAACACCTGGTGTGGGTTTGTCACCACCTGGTGTGGGTTTGTCACCACCTGGTGTGGGTTTGACACCACCTGGTGTGGGTTTGACACCACCTGGTGTGGGTTTGACACCACCTGGTGTGGGTTTGACACCACCTGGTGTGGGTTTGACACCACCTGGTGTGGGTTTGACACCACCTGGTGTGGGTTTGACACCACCTGGTGTGGGTTTGACAACACCTGGTGTGGGTTTGACACCACCTGGTGTGGGTTTGTCACCACCTGGTGTGGGTTTGACACCACCTGGTGTGGGTTTGACACCACCTGGTGTGGGTTTGTCACCACCTGGTGTGGGTTTGTCACCACCTGGTGTGGGTTTGTCACCACCTGGTGTGGGTTTGTCACCACCTGGTGTGGGTTTGTCACCACCTGGTGTGGGTTTGACACCACCTGGTGTGGGTTTGTCACCACCTGGTGTGGGTTTGTCACCACCTGGTGTGGGTTTGACACCACCTGGTGTGGGTTTGACACCACCTGGTGTGGGTTTGTCACCACCTGGTGTGGGTTTGACACCACCTGGTGTGGGTTTGTCACCACCTGGTGTGGGTTTGTCACCACCTGGTGTGGGTTTGTCACCACCTGGTGTGGGTTTGTCACCACCTGGTGTGGGTTTGACACCACCTGGTGTGGGTTTGACACCACCTGGTGTGGGTTTGACAACACCTGGTGTGGGTTTGACACCACCTGGTGTGGGTTTGTCACCACCTGGTGTGGGTTTGACACCACCTGGTGTGGGTTTGTCACCACCTGGTGTGGGTTTGACACCACCTGGTGTGGGTTTGTCACCACCTGGTGTGGGTTTGTCACCACCTGGTGTGGGTTTGACACCACCTGGTGTGGGTTTGACACCACCTGGTGTGGGTTTGACAACACCTGGTGTGGGTTTGACACCACCTGGTGTGGGTTTGACAACACCTGGTGTGGGTTTGACACCACCTGGTGTGGGTTTGACAACACCTGGTGTGGGTTTGACACCACCTGGTGTGGGTTTGACAACACCTGGTGTGGGTTTGACACCACCTGGTGTGGGTTTGACAACACCTGGTGTGGGTTTGACACCACCTGGTGTGGGTTTGACAACACCTGGTGTGGGTTTGACAACACCTGGTGTGGGTTTGACAACACCTGGTGTGGGTTTGACACCACCTGGTGTGGGTTTGACACCACCTGGTGTGGGTTTGACAACACCTGGTGTGGGTTTGACAACACCTGGTGTGGGTTTGACTCGCACACCTGGTGTGGGTTTGACTCGCACACCTGGTGTGGGTTTGACTCGCACACCTGGTGTGGGTTTGACTCGCACACCTGGTGTGGGTTTGACACCAACTGGTGAGGGTTCGAGCCCACGTCCTGAGGGTAGCGAGGACGTGTTCCCTACACCAGTACACGAGTGTGTTTACACCCCCAACATGGCGCCCTGGGATAAATATCTTCACATTAATTAACGCCAGTTAAAAACTTTCTTGCACGTGTTTACTTACTAATATTGTACCTTAGGTGTGTGTGTGTGTGTGTGTGTGTGTGTGTGTACTCATTTGTGCCTGCAGGATCGAGCTTTAGCTCTTGGACCCCGCTTTTCTGGCCGCTGGTTGTCTAATGCAATGCCTCCTGGTCTATTTCCCTATCATACCTGCTTTTAAAGTTATGAATGGAGTGAGCCTCTACAACCAGCTCCTTTAGGTCATTCCATTTACTAACCTTACGCTAAAGGAAAACTTTCTAACATCTCTATAACACATCTGAGTGTTAAGCTTCTATCCGTGCCCTCTTGTTCATAGTCATTGTAAACCTTTCCTCTCTTTCCACCTTGTCAATCCCTCTAAGTCTTTTATACGTCTGTATAATGTCCCCCACCCTCTCCCTCTGTTACGTTGTCAGGTTTAGTTCCTTCAGTCTGTCTTCGTACCTCATCCCTCGCAGCTCTGAAACGAATCTCGTTGCAAACTTCTGCAACTTTTCGAGCTTCCTTATGTGTTTTTTTTTTAAATGGGGGCTCCACGATGGGGCGGCATACCCTAAGACCGGCCTCATATAAGCGGTATACAGTGATCTAAACGCCTCATTATTCAAGTGCCTTTAGGATGTTCTGACTTTCGCCAGAATAGAGTATGTGGCTGACGATATTCTATTTATATGAGCCTCTGGAGTTAGGTTTGGTGTTATGTCTACTCACAGGTCTTTTTCTCTAGGCGTTATCGATAGTTTACCATCATCGTATATTAGCCTTTCGGTCTCCTGGCTCCTGTCCTCATTTCCATCTCCTTGCACTTGTTAGTGTTGAACTCTAGTAGCCATTTCTCGGACCATCTCTGCAACTGTTCAAGTCATCCTAAAGACTCTCACAATCCTCATCTGTCTCAACCATCCTCATTGTTTGCAGATGATGCAAAACTATTGACATAAAAGACTGACTCCTGCAGTCAAGTCATTTACATAAATGAGTAATAGTATGGGACCCGGGACCGATCCTTGAGGCACCCCGCGTGTTACTCTACGCCAGTCGGACTCCTCGCCCCTCACTGTCACTCTCTGACACCTGTCTGTTAGGTAATTCCTTACCCATGATAGTGCGTTTCCGTCTACTCCCGCCTGCCTCTCAAGTTTGTATAGTAGCCTTCTGTGTGGTACTGTATCACAGGCTTTTTAGTAGTCAAGAAATATGCCATCTGCCCAGCCTTCTCTTCTCTGTCTTGCCTTATTTTCGTTACCTTATCATAAAACGCCAGGAGGATCGTCTGGCAGGATTTCCCTTCTCTAAAGTCGCGTTGTTGTTTAATTACAAACCCAATTCAAGGTGTGCAACTAATCTTAGCCTTATAATTCTTTCAAGTACTTTGCAAGGGATGCTTGTGAGTGACACTGGTCTGTAGTTAAGTAAGTTTGTGCGTGTGCATGCGTGCGCGTGCATGCGTGCGCGCGAATGCGTGCGTGCGTGTGCATGCCAGTGCAAGTATGTGCGTGTGATTGTTTTGGAAGGGGAGAGTAAGTCTCTCTTCCCCTCTAACTGTCTCTCTCTCCCTCTCTCTCACATACAAAAGGGAGAGAGAGAATTAGTATCTACCGAGAAGAGTGTACATCCTTTTAAATTAATAAAAACCTTTCATATAATAACCAATTTTCCCCAGGCTTAGTGTAAATGACTTGTGATTATTAAAATGGAATTATTACATTCATAAAACTAAACAAGCAAACCCAAACTAATATTACTTTCAATGTAAATTATGCACAAATATATTTACACTTCATATATATATATATATATATATATATATATATATATATATACATATATATATATATATATATATATATATATATATATGTCGTACCTAGTAGCCAGAACGCACTTCTCAGCCTACTATGAAAGGCCCGATTTGCCTAATAAGCCAAGTTTTCCTGAATTAATATATTTTCTCTAATTTTTTTCTTATGAAATGATAAAGCTACCCATTTCATTATGTATGATGTCAATTTTTTTTTACTGGAATTAAAATTAACGTAGATATATGACCAAACCTAACCAACCCAACCTAACCTAACCTAACCTATCTTTATAGGTTAGGTTAGGTTAGGTAGCCAAAAAAGTTAGGTTAGGTTAGGTAGGTTAGGTAGTCAAAAAAAACTTTAATTCATGAAAACTTGGCTTATTAGGCAAATCTGGCCTTGCATAGTAGGCTGAGAAGTGCGTTCTGGCTACTAGGTACGACATATATATATATATATATATATATGATGAATATTAAAATTACAAAGTTTACCAATTATAAATAATTCAACAATAGATCAATGCGTCACAAAAATATTAATTATAGTTGCCTATCAACATGGTAATATAAATATTATGGAGGTTTCACTGACAAAATTTAAGAATTGACATATCTGATCAGCATTAGCAACCTCCCGCGAAGGCAAGGAACGAACTGTTCCCTATTGTTAAAACATGTCATATATCTACTTTGTGGGCCCGTGTGTCAGGATGAAGGAACCGTTAAGGCTCTCACTCTCAGGGCTCTTGAGGCACCAACACTGGTATTAATAATATGGGTTACACGCGCAAACTAACCATGGGGTATACAGACTGACAATGGTATGCACACAATGCAAAGTTTACAATAAAATCATGGGTTTCACTCACACAACCACACACACACACACACACACACACACACACACACACACACACACACACAGTAGGTAGGTTCCTACAGCCCAGTGGGCTCAGGAACCTGTACATTAGTTGATTGACAGTTAAGAGGCGGAACCAAAGAGCCAGCGCTCAACCCCCACAAGCACAATTAGATAAGTACAATTAGGTAAGTACACACACACCTACAAATTGATTGACAGGGGACCACAATTGAGAGGCGGGACCAAAAAGCCAAAGCTCAACCCTCCGCAAGCACAATAGGTGAGTACACACAAAGCAAAGAAACAGGAAAACAAACACAATAACCTAAAGGTATTTACCCCAAAACCCAAAATTCCTCGACCGATGACTTTAAAAAAAAATGTGCCATGTACCAAAACTAATTCAAAAGTGTATGATCTCCGCCACAGGCTTACCTGGTAGCAGCTGTGGTGGGCGTGGTGTGCGCTGGGCCCCTCCCCCAGCCTGAGGACACGGCCCGCCAGTACGGACCGCCCCCTCCACAATACCCCGCCCCCTATAAGCCAGAGGAGGTATGTCACAGGCTATAAGGAACATGTTTATATTTTTGAGATGGTTGTTGGGAATAATGACATATATGCCGAATATAATTGACGTTTCAATGTCAATATTCTCTTCACAACTTTTCAACCCTCCATCACGCTGTAAACTGGATCAGAACTGTGAGCATCCTGGTGTAGTTACTAGAGTAAGGGATCGTATTTTTCATGCCTAAGTTCGTATCATTAATTCATACTGCGCTTACAGGAGCCCGCTAAGCCATATACCTTCGAATATGGAGTAAAGGATGGATACTCTGGCGCCAACTACGGCCATAGTGAGAACTCCGACGGCAAGGCTGTGTCCGGCTCCTACCAAGTCGACCTTCCCGACGGCCGCACGCAGATCGTCAACTACGTCGCCGACCACCACAACGGCTTCCAGGCCCAGGTCGAGTACAAGGGAGAGGCCCAGTACCCTGAGGCCGCACCCTACAAGCCAGCATACCCGTCACCGGCCCCAGCATACCCAGCTCCTCCAGCATACTCCCAACAATCATACCGAAACCAGGAATCGCCAGCATACGAGTCCCCAGCACAAGAATACCACGAGGAACCCGCCCCTGTTGAGTATAACTAAAGATATACGACGTCGCAGTCAAAGCCTCGCTTACGGGCCGCCGTCACCGGCCAAGACGCTAACCAAAGTTGGCATCTTCCTGGTGGTAGATCAGGCTCTATGTTGTGTGTGTTCTCCAATGTTCAGTTGTTCAACTCCCCCCATCCCTGCCCCCACGAGGAACACACACAGTTCAGCGTTCACAATACTTGGCTGTCCAGCGGGCCCGCGGGTCGAGCTCGCTCCAGCCGCCCATTACGTGTGCCATTTTCACACTTTAATACAGTCACTTCATTTGCATAAAATGTTCTTTGATTATATCCTTAATATTATGAACGGGAGCCGATATCTGGGACTATTTCTACGAAGACCTTGTGAAGCGCCTCAGTCGGCACTCGCTAGAGGAGGAGGAGGTCAATAGGGATATAAATGGGATTATGAAATTGTTTTGGAAGATTAGAAAGTACAACAAAAGAGTACAAGATGGAGAAATTTCGATTTATAAGACATATAGTGAAGTGCTGGACCAGGAGTTGTCAAGCATTTACACATCTTCTTTCGGCACCTGTACATCTTTCAGCACCTGTACATCTTTCAGCACCTGTACATCTTTCAGCACCTGTACATCTTTCAGCACCCTGTACATCTTTCAGCACCTGTACATCTTTCAGCACCTGTACATCTTTCGGCACCTGTACATCTTTCAGCACCTGTACATCTTTCGGCACCTGTACATCTTTCAGCACCTGTACATCTTTCGGCACCTGTACATCTTTCAGCACCTGTACATCTTTCGGCACCTGTACATCTTTCAGCACCTGTACATCTTTCAGCACCTGTTCATCTTTCAGCACCTGTACATCTTTCGGCACCTGTACATCTTTCAGCACCTGTACATCTTTCGGCACCTGTACATCTTTCAGCACCTGTACATCTTTCGGCACCTGTACATCTTTCGGCACCTGTACATCTTTCAGCACCTGTACATCTTTCGGCACCCTGTACATCTTTCAGCACCCTGTACATCTTTCGGCACCTGTACATCTTTCGGCACCTGTACATCTTTCGGCACCTGTACATCTTTCGGCACCTGTACATCTTTCAGCACCTGTACATCTTTCGGCACCTGTACATCTCTCGGCACCTGTTCATCTTTCAGCACCCTGTACATCTTTCGGCACCTGTACATCTTTCGGCACCTGTACATCTTTCAGCACCTGTACATCTTTCGGCACCTGTACATCTTTCGGCACCTGTACATCTTTCAGCACCTGCACATGTGAATACCACAAACTTGTAGCTACCAACATTCCTGTGTGACAGGCTGGTTTCTAGATGTAAATGTTTCCCCCAGATGGTGTACACACACACACACACACACACACACACACACACACACACACACACACACACACACACGGGCTGACTGGAGGCCGATTCCGAAGAACCGAAGTTCAACTCTCGCAAGCACAACTAGGCGAGTACACACACACACACACACACACACACACACACACACACACACACACACACACACACACACATACGCACACACGCACACACACGCACACGCGCACACACACAGAGAGTGGTTGACAAATAGAATGCATTAGGGGGTGATGTGGTGGAGGCTGACTCCATACACAGTTTCAAGTGTAGATATGATAAGAGCCCGATAGGCTCAGGAATCTGTACACCTGTTGATTGACGGTTGAGAGGCGGGACCAAAGAGCCGGAGCTCAACCCCCGCAAACACAACTAGGCGAGTACACACGCACACACACGCGCGCACACACGCACGCACGCCATTTTACGATAAAACAATTAAGTAACAACATTTAAAGACCTTGTGGTTAGGTTGTGTTTATTGGGATTAGACCAACATTGAGCCCATCCTCCTGAATAGCAATACTTGGTCTAACGAACAAAAATGGACCGCTGGAAGCCGAAAAAGTTCATGGTGTTACTGAATTAGCCCAAATGGCAGACTCTGAAATGGAAATGTAACTAAAGATTGCAGCCTAACATTTCCCAGTATTCCTATCCCTAATATACGCTATCTTAGGCCTAATACAGTACCTATAGGTGCTATAATAGGGGCTGAACAACTTTAAAGGTTGATTTTTTTCCGTGCCGTCTACACAAGGAACTGTACAACATGCTAACATGTTCCATGCAACAGTCCATTTTTTGTACGTTCGACCAAATACTTGCTGTACGAGCTATCATTACAGGAGGACGGGGCTACGAAACCACCACATTCGTACACGGAGCGCGGGCCCCGCCAAGTTCACTCAAGTACTTTGACTAAAATTATGGAAAAAGCAATGTAATTGTTGACAAAGATAATGACTGTGTACCAGAGTGTTTCCGTGTACTAATTTTCCTCGACGACGGGCGCCAGAAACATACGGCACACATCTGTTGTGCTTTCTCGCATCTAAATATAAGTATTCTTTCACCGCAATCATGCGCGCACACGCACGCACGCACGCATTCTGACACCCACAATTACCCCTCTCGTCCACACCTCAACACAAGCAGGCGAACACACGCATCAACCCTCTCACAAGCACGCATACATCCCCCAAAAACACGCATACACTCCCAACACACACACACACACACACACACACACACACACACACACACACACACACACACCTTTCCCCCCCCCCCACACACACTTTTTTTGTAACTAGCTGCCATCATAATAATAAGGAGTGGAAGTTAGATGAAATTGTTAATGTAAAAATCTGAGGTCAGTAATTCTTGATGCGTTACCGTTCATAGGATGAGTATGGGGTGAACAAACTACCCTACGCAGGATGAGTATGGGGTGAACAAACTACCTCACACAGGATGAGTATGGGGTGAACGAACTATCACTCACAGGATGAGTATGGGGTGAACAAACTACCACACACAGGATGAGTATGGGGTGAACAAACTACCACACACAGGATGAGTATGGGGTGAACAATAAACTAGTCGCCTCCGGCGGTAATAATGAAAAAAATTAAATCTATACAGACTGATCCCACCCCCGTCAAACAATACTCAAACCAATTTCAGTCCCCCCCTTCCCCCAACTCTCTCTCCCGTATCGATATAAATAGGAGCTGCCTCGTATGGGCCAAACACGGGAGACATCTCCCGTCACGTAGGGTGCAGTCGCACCTCCACAGATCTCCAATATCAGCTCTTGATACTGGTAATGGCTCAAAAGGGCCACCACTTACGGGCTATTCATGCCCGTGCCACCTTTTGGGTGGCTTAATCTTCATCAATCAATCAATATGGGCCAATAGGCCTTCTGCAGTTACCTTCATTCTTATGTTCTTATAACCAATTGACCCATTCCCTTCCTCATTAACTATCCTCGCAGTTTCTTACTTCCCTGGACTCCTGATCCTTCCCCCTTAAGTATAAAGCTTTCAATGTAAATATGACATAGCCCAATATGCTCTGGAACCTAAAAGCTAGTTAATTAAAGGTTGAGAATCGGGACCAAAGAGCCGAGGCTCATCCGCCGTAAATACAACTAGCCGAGTACTCCCTTTTTTAAAAACTATACGGCGATGTACGTCAAGATTCGAGCCTTCTCTATTCAACACGTCTCTCTCACCCTAGCCCAGCAGTATTCTACACTCTTGATTCAGATTCTTTAATCGTAACAACTGATGTAAGTCATTATTCTCCAGATACCTCTCTTTGATATGCCTTCTCTTTTCTCAGCAAGCACTTAAACAGGTTCATCGTTCGATCCCTCGCCTGTCCACGTGGTTGAGCACTGTTCATTTACTCTGTCCTCACATACCAGTACTTAGTCAGTCTCATATTCCTTTTAAGTGTTAGGTATGCCCTGCCTTAGCACTCTTCATAAATACTTTATCTCCGCTTTGTACCACTCAACCATCCCAATGCTAGCCATGGTATCTTTCACAGTGTATTCTCTCGATCTTCTAACCTGCGTCCCTCGTTCCCTTTTCTGTCCACAACTCTACCTTCACAACCATTCACTTCACTGACTCTCTTCACAAGTTACAAGCATTACCACTATGTCACACTCCTTTACACTGGCGTAATCACAGATTTATTTGGTATAGGAACAGAATACTAAACCTTTTTAGCGTACATTGTAGTAACAGTACTGTACAGTACTGTGTATACAGTACACAGTGAAAAAGCGAGTCAGCTGATCTTGCTAAACTCGTTTATCAGCGAACACCTGATAAACTAAAACAGGTGTTGTTAAAACAAGAATACAATAGACACCACAACGTACATACGACCATGTTTTGGAATCCCCCTCTATGCTCCTATTCTCATTCACAAATCCTACGGTTCCCGAACCTAGCCCAATACCTTCTTCCCCAAGTCGTCTCGCTCCCTCCCCAAATACATCAAATAGGAGCTGCCTCGTATGGGCCAATAGTCCTTCTGCAGTTACCTTTGTTCTTGCGTTCATCCTTAGGTACCCCAGGGTCCTCCTGTGAGTGATGCGCCCTAACCCCCAGTACCTTCAATGACCATTTCAATCTATTATCTTAAGACCACATAAGGCCCATATAGCAGTGCTGATGGAATCACAAAATAATTATATAAAATGAAAGACCCTGAGAATAACCCCAGCAGAATAGCAATATTCAAAACTAAACTAAAATGACAATGAATGTCATATCATAAGGAGTCCAAAAGATTAAAGAAAAACCAAAAGGAAAAGCAGTAGCAGTGCTAATTATAAGAACCATTAACTTTCAGAAATTTCCATAAAATACCTTGATAACTACACAACTAATTGGCACGTCAGACTGGAAGCAGCAGAATCGAAGAGTCAACAAACAGAACGTCAACCAGGAGGCCGCTGGTCACTGATCTTCAGAACCATATCAAGGAACGACTCAAATACATCAAAGCAGCAAATCAATGATAAAATGATATTATTAACAACATAAATAACAGAAACAACCCCCAAACGTAAGTGTAAATCTGTTCTACATTAATTTTTTTTTATTTCGCCTCGAAACTCTCGAGTTTCATAGAAAATTAAAATTGGTTGACAGTCCAGTGTTTGAATACGCGGCCCCGAGATAAAATGATATGCAAATGATATTTAATTATCGGAACATTTCAACAAATGTATCTACTCAAATTTTAATTGTATTTACCTGTACAATTAACATTGATTTTCCTGGTACATAAACGTAAATAATTTAAATAATTAATTTACCTTTATTATTATTATATATATATTATATATATATATATATATATATATATATATATATATATATATATATAT